CTGTGCAAACGTAGTATAATAAGACCAGACCCGCAGTAAGTACAGTTGTGTCCACTCACTTCACCCCACAGCTGTATTTAGCTGGACTAAAAATGAACACCAGCAGAACATTTGTTTACCACATTCCCTGGTGGTTTCTGTGAGACTTCAATAATCAGTGACTCTCTGAACATCAAAGGAATGTGTCTGGCTGAAACTTGACATCAGACAGACTGTAGAGCATTCCTACTTATTACTTTGTTCCATCTTTCCAAATATCAGCTTTGGGGGTATTGTTTTAGAGCCAAGGTCCTAGTGTATAAAGCAAGCTAGCCCTGTACTCGTAATCTTCCTGCCTCAGCCTCCCAAGTACTAGGATTACATGCATGTTCCACTATGCCCAGTTTCAAACATCTACTCATTTTACAAATTATTTTCTAGTTGGCTCCATGGTCATGACTTTGAGCCAAGAATCCATTTGGCAACAATAAACAGTGCAATCAATGTAATAAATATACTCAATCTAATCTGTAAATAACAGTCCTTTTCCTAATGGGCCATTACACTATTCCCAATGATACCTATCCCATTCCCGAGTCAAAGGCTCTTTCTTGGCTGGGCATAATGGTCCTTTGTGATCCCAGAACTCAGGAGGCTGAGACAGGAGGATAGTCACAAATTCTAAGCCAACCAGGACTACATGAGATCCTGTCCCAAATAAACAAAGGGCTGGGAAGGAGTATAGTTTAATTTATAGAATGTTTACCTAACATGCCTGAAGTTCTGGGCTAGGTATGGTGACATACACTTGTGATCCTAGCACTCAGGAAGTAGTGGTACAAGGATCAGAAGTTCAAGGTTATCCTCAGCAACATAGCATGCTTGAGACCATCCTAAGCTGAGATCCTGCCTCAAAAAAAAAAGGTTTTCTATAGACAAGACTATCTTATCTAAGCCTGTCTGTACTGAGCAAACCAGAAAAAGGTACAATGTTTAAGCAGTGCTGTCTGGATAAGCAACACCAGCTCAACGTTAGCCATCTTGTATTCAATGAATTTAAGTAAACAGAGATTGCCTCTCATATATATCCCTTAGGTCAAGGAGAGAAACAGAGCAGGGTAGTCCTTGGAATTTGTATTTTGGAAGCAACAGCAGTGGATCTAAATGGATGTCTTGGGCCGGAGATGGAGCTCGGGGCATAGCACTTGTCTAGCTTGCACAAAACCCTGGGTTTGATCTCCAGCATTATTAAAAAAAAAAAGGTGGGGGGCTTTTCTCAAGTTTTCCCCAAAGACAGGTTTGGATTCTACTTCATTAAAGAGGAGCAGGAGTCAGATGGTTCTAATCCCTTTTCTGTTCTAATTCCCTAATCGTCAGATGTTTTTTGAGGTTGTTTCATCAGGTTATTTTTGTTGTTTATGTTTGTTTTTCGAGATTGGGAGGGGTTTACTATGTTAAAAACAGGCTGGCCTTAAACTCTTGGGTTCAAATGATTTTTCTGCCACCCCCCCCGACCCCCCACCCCTCTACCTTCCCAGCTGAGACTATAGGTACGTGCCACCATTAAAACTTCATCATTTTGGATGGCTTTTTCATTCCTGGTAAAATGATGTAAAATTATGTCCCACTGTTTGGGACTCAAACAGTGCATGCAAGTCTCTAGCTTAGCTAACTCAACACAGCACTTAGAATGTTCTCCTACACGAAAGAGCCCACAAGCCTTAGCTAGAGAGAAGCGCAACTGTTTACAGGTAACACAGCTTGCTTTCTTCCTCTACTTGGCTGACATATCCTAACCTATGTTTTAAACTTGTTTTAAGACAAAGATTTTGTTTGGTCACATGAAAATGCCTGAAATAGTCCATGCTATAATTAGCCCAGCCTGAGTCTCATCTCCCAAAGTCAGAGCCGATGTCGTCATCTTTTATTCTTTCTTTAATAAACCCTTTTGTCCCAAGACAGGCTTCGTGTTTGCGTGCCCTTTACAAAGAAATTTTCCCTGGCAGACTGCCATGGATTTCTCTGCCTATTTCCATTTTAAGTAATTTTTCTGTCTCAGTCTCCTCTGAAACAAAGGCAGACACCAAAAATTTGCTGGTTTATTTTTAAAGTGAAGTTCACTTTACCTCAAGCTGTTATAAAGCCAGCAAGAGGTTTTGTGGAGTCACATGGCCTGAGTTTACCCATCACCCAAAGATAAGAGCTCACAGCTGATTCCTGTGAAACCCTCCATCTCAGAAGGTTTTGAGTGGGCCATAAAAAGCCGCTTCCAACATGTTCTCTATTTGCCAGGGGCTATTCCCACGGCGGGCACCCATTTTTAGCCAAAGGGCCCCAAGTTCTTTTTCAGCTCCTGCCAGTTCTATAAAATAGCACTGCTTTTTCTGTAGGCTAATCGTAATGAATTCAACAGGAAGTGGGGGTGCATAAGGCAGGGTGTCTTCCTGTGGCCCAGTTATTTACAGAAAGGAAGATTTTTTTTTTTTTTTCTCCTAATGCTTAAACCTTCCCTACAGGACTAACTCGAGGGGCTTTCCTCGAGGTGCTTTCCAGGTAATAAACTAATAAAGTGAAGTATTTCTAATCTTTCTCAAAGCTGTATAACAATTTAAGCTGTTCAAAAGTTGGAAGAGGGGGAGGGGATGAACAAGAACAAAGTATGAAAGACGTTATGTATGAAGATGCCATGAAACCCATTACTTTGTATGCTAACTTAATAAATTTTTTAAAAAGCTAGAAGAGTTAAGAGTTCATATTAAATCCACACCTCAAATGAATAAAAAAATAATTCTTTTAGGGTATTTGCCTCTTGGAGCCCCTCCCACTCTCAGGAATTCTGACTTTTCCATGATAAATTTATGTTCCATCTGCTAAAAAAAAAAAAATGTTTCATATTACAGAATGTACACCACTCAGATTCAACAGTATGGAGTCAAAGTAACCCAAAGGGCTAAGGCTAAGCTCTGTTTAGATAATCAAAAGATATTTTTTTTTAACCTGGTGTGGTGGCTTTTAACTATAATTCTAGCACTTGAGGGGGAGGCAGGGAAGAAGGGGATGCCTGAGGCAGGAAGATGGCTGCTGAGTTTAAGGCCAGTTGGGGCTACATAATGAGTTCAAGGCTTGAGCTATCAGAGTAAGAAAAAGTCTCAAACAAGCAAGGTTTTCTTTTAGCTCTGGGGAAGAATGTTCACTTTTTTCTCCTTATTTGTCCTTAGGCAAATTCACTGCCAAAAGAAATGGATTAGGATCAATATCAGATGTGCTATGAACTGCCAGAACACTGTGACTCCTGTAGAGTCACAAAGTGCGGTGTAAACATTGAATACACTCCCACAGCCAGATGTCCTCATGTGCCTGGCACTGTAGCCAACTGCATAGGTTTTCAATAGTAAAAAGGTTCACCTGGGCCCAAGCCACACTGAGCCCAGGCCTGAGCCCTCCTATTTTCACAAATGATTTCTTCATTAGACATATATGGGGAAATGTACAGCTCACAACACTATTTTGTATAACACTAAACTTTTTTTTTTTTTGGTCTTTTTGAGACAGGGTCTCCCTGTAGCCCCAGCTGTTCTGGAACTCACAGAGATGCACCTGCCTCTGCCTCCCAAGTGCTGGGATTAAAGGCGTGCGCCACCAAGCCCAGCTAAAACTAAATTTTTTTAAAAAAGCTTTTTTGAGCCGGGCGTGGTGAACGCTTGAGAGGCAGGCGGATCTGAGTTCCAGGACAGCCTGGTTTACATAGTAAGTTCCAGGCCATCTGGGGCTACACAGAGACCCCGTCTCAAAAAAAAAACTTTTTTTTTGTTTTTGTTAAGCCAACCACGGTGCACCTGTAACCTCATCATTAGTAAGGATAAGACAAGAATTGTGAGTTCAAGGCCAACTTGGCTACAGAGGGAGAGAAAAACTTGTCTCTAGGACTTGGGAAAAAAAAAAAAAACCACCTTATCTCTAAATCTCTTGGGTTTAGCCCAAGGATTCTACTTTACACAGTGCTGTCCTTGGTCTTTCTTCCCTGATCCTAAGTAGGTTAAATATCTTGGATGCTGATCCAAGATTATCTTGAACATGACAAGTCTGGCCACTCAAGCAACAAACTGGCATAATTCATTGGCATTTTACCAGATTTCCTTCATACTTGGCCATGAGAGTTCTTAATTATTGTATGTACAACTGAACCAGACGTTAACTTTGAAAAGAAACAGGCTACTAGGCAAACTACTTGGTGGAACACCCCCAGATTATAAATCAGGCAAAGCCACAATAAGTGAAACACTTGGTAAAGGGCAGCAGCGGCTACCAAGTCAGACCAAAAACAAACCATGAAGCAGAAGGGGAAGAAAAAGCCACTTCTTCCAGCTTCTTGTGCAGAAAGGACAGCACCTCTTTTTTTTGCTGGCCTGGGGTGCCCCCTTTTCCAGGATAATAGACCCCTAGGTGGACCATACTTTCTCTTTCCAAAGAATCTTCCTCCAGATTCGTTAGGGTACCTACACACTCCAGCTCCGCAAAGGATCATGACCCATGTTCTGGAAAAGCAACGGGGCTGGGTCTAAGCCGTGAGAAAGAACTGTCAGTCCTCACCACCCACATCCACACAGATCTGCCTGAAACCCTAGTTCCCATTTTTTCTTCCCCAACACCCACATGTTTCTGGGCGCAGCAAGATCGGGACCCATGGTGGCATGGAAACCAGAGGAGGGGAGTGTGTGTGCTGGTGAAGATAGATGGTTATGAATACGAACCCGGGAAGGGGGGAGGTTGGCATGCACTTGGCCTTGAGATCAAGTGACCAAGGCATTCTTGGGACTTGGGGAAAGTCGGACCAGGAAGTGGTCACTTTGTCACTTGGCCCCACGACGAACAGCCTGAGCGCCCACAGTGGGGTCCCAGGAGTGGTCAATGAGCTTGCCATCTGTCAGTCAAGGGCCCCTGCTCCCCCTCGCCTTCGGGGTCGTCGCCCCCCATCCCCAGCCATCCCCTCCCCGCCCGCGCGGACGGCGCACGCAGCCTACCCGGAGCTCGCCCTCCGTGCGGTGCAGTCCCAGACGTCGCAGCCCCACGGCCAGGTCGTTAACACACAGGCCGCCGTCGCGGTTGACGTCGAGCGTCTGGAAGAGACTCCACAGGCGCAGCTGGTGGTCCGGGCCCCCACAGACCGCGCCTCCGCACGGGTCCCCCACGGACGCCGGCGACGAGGCGGACGACGAGGCGGTGGCGGCGGCGTCCGGCGGCGGGGAGGCCACGCAGCGGCACAACACACTGCTCACCATCGGGCGCGAGGCAGGGGCGCCGGACGCGGGGCTGGGGCGGCAGGCGGAAGCACAGAAGCACGCCGACTTTCCTCAGACTGCCAGCGCGGGCTCAGTGAAGCCGGCAAGCTGGAGGGAGGGGCCGCTTCCGGGAGCCCCGCCCCTCCGCGCGCCGCCGCGTTGGTCACGCCCCCCAGCGCGCTGCCGGCCAATCACAGGCCAGGGCGGGGCCTGCCTGGAGCCCGCCGGGATAAATGAGAGGGCGGGGCCAGCCGCGTGGATTCAAACTGAGGGAGGCGGGGATTGGCTGAGTCCGGCCGGAGATAATTGACAGGCCGGAAGCCCTCTGTCGTATTCCCATTGAGAAGTGCTGTGAAGACTGCGGAGTTGGAAGATTGAGGCGCAGAGATCGTAGTTTTCTGTGGAAAGCCGGATTTGTGTGAAATAATTGTGGACTGAACTTAGAAGCACACTTTGCGCCTTGAGGACAATTAGAAATACAATTAATGGGCTAACATTAGGAGGCTGGGTTTGAGTAGTCTTACCAATAAAATAGCTGAATTTAACAGCGTAATCGTCATGAGACCGATAATTGAACGACAGAATGGTTTTCCAATGGCAGGGAATGGAAGCCATGTGGGCGGGCGCTCCCGAGCGACAGACACGCCTTTAGACCAATCATCAGATCACTTTTAGTGAATAGGCGTGTCTCCTATGTGAGTGACAGTCCGGAGAGCCAATGATAGGTGTGATATTTGTGGGCTCTCCTGGGGAAGCGCCGAGGGGCGGGAAGAAGGGAAATGGGCGGATCTCCGCACACCCCGGCGGAAGAGGCAGATTCAGGAAGCCATTACGCAGCTGGCTGGCAGCGGTCGGGCCGGTCCGGGCTGGGCCCTACGCACTTTGCGTAGCGAGAGGGGTTAACTAAGGCCTAGAGCTGGGCCTTGAGCAAGTCCTGCCTATCCCCTAGAGGGGAGTGGGTGAGGGACGAGGTGGAGAAAGAAAAGAGGAGAAGTTGGGGCTGTTTAAGGGCATTCTAATTTCTTTAAAAAGAGAGCAAAGTGGATGCCATGGCTGTCCCAGCCAAGAAGAGAAAGATGAACTTTTCAGAGCGGGAGGTGGAGATCATCGTGGAGGAGCTGGAGTTGAAGAAGCACCTGCTGGTGAACCACTTCAACGCTGGGGTCCCCCTGGCTGCCAAGAGCGCGGCCTGGCATGGCATCCTGAGAAGGGTCAACGCCGTAGCCACCTGCCGCAGGGAGCTGCCTGAGGTCAAGAAAAAGTGGTCTGATCTCAAGACCGAGGTCCGACGCAAAGTTGCCCAAGTCCGGGCTGCTGTGGAAGGTGGCGAGGCCCCAGGGCCCACAGAGGAGGATGGAGCTGGTGGGCCTGGGACAGGCGGTGGCAGTGGCGGCAGTGGCACAGCTGTAACCCCTGTACTGCTGACCCCCATGCAACAACGCATCTGCAACCTGCTGGGCGAGGCCACCATCATCAGCCTGCCCAGTACCACAGAGATCCACCCTGTGGCCCTCGGACCCTCGGCCACTGCAGCTGCAGCCACGGTCACCCTGACACAGAGTGAGTGACCTCTCATGCCCAGTTCAGCTGCATAAATGGGAAGGGCCAGCAAGTGTTAGAGCGGCCTGGGGAAGGTTGGCTGCCAAGGGTCAAAGGTCATATGGGGATCTTGGAAGACCAGGAGGCTTTCCAAGCACTCCTCAGACAAGAAGTGATGGTGTTCCCTGAGGACTTCCTTAGTATGTGGTCTGGCTTCTAGCCAACTGGATACCTCCCTACTGTGTGCTGGCACCATTTATGTCCATAACTTACCTCCACTTGCTGACCTATGTGGTCCTTGAAGACAGAGACTGTGTCTGTAGCCCATAGGACTGAGGACCTGGCACATAGTAGGTAGTGCACATAGTAGGCAGCCATGATATACTTGTTGAATGAATAGCTGGGACTAATACTGCCAAAGTGAGACTTCTGTTCTGGACAAAGACATTCTGTGTCTTCAATACACATTCATCAGCCACGACTCAGGATCCTCATGGTTCCTGGTGGAAATCTATCTGTTCACCAATTTATGCTAGGCACTGGGATTGCCAAAGTGTTTAAAAATATGGGCCTGGAGGCTGGGGATAGCGCTCAGTGGTACAGCACTCACATAGCATGTGAGCGACCATGGGTTCCACTCTCACCCCTGCAAAGTAAATAAATATGTAGGCTAATTATATTGTAAGTAGGGCAGATGAGGCACATTTATGAATACCTTTGTTATTATATGGGAAAGTCCAAGGATTTACAAGAGGAAGGGGGTTTCCTTGTGTGATGAGGACACACGGTTGATGGCATTAAAAAATAGAGAAAATAGGAAGTGGTGATATACACTTGTAATCCCAGTGCTGGAGAGGCAGGTGGATCTCTGGAGCTTGATGGAGAGCTCCAGGCCAGTGAGAGACTCTGTCTCAAAAAGAAAAAAAAAAAAAATGTGGACAGTGCCTGAGCAATGACACTCAAAGAAATTCTCCTCTGACCCCCATGTGCACCTGCTTATACACAAATGCATACACATTCATTTGAAAAGAAAGATAGGCAAGATTGACATCTATATGCATGAAGCCCAAACACACAAGTCCCTTTGAAGGTTCTCTGTGGTGAGTTGTAACAGATCTAACTTGGGTTGGGTTTTGTAATTGTGATAAAGGCTTGTGCCCCTGCCTATGAATTCTGATCTTCATGATGGACTTTGAACTCTGTCAACCAGAGTCTCAGTGGGGTTTGGGTGTGTATGTATGCGTGTTATCCCCTAGAGTGTCATATTTCTTCATATTGAGGTGGGAAAGGGGACAAATACAGATGTAATTCAGACACTGTTTGCATCCAGTAGGATGTTTAAGTATCTCCTGGACCAAAGTAATTAAAGAAGACAGGGAGACATTTACTGGACACTTCAGGTGCTACTGTCCTACCCCCTCTCCCACCTTTGTTGTTTGACCTCATAGAAAGGACATGATTAGTCAAAGCAGCCCAGATAAGTGGGTTGAGCATGCTTGTCTATTGCGGAGATAGAGATTTGCGTCCTGGCTCTGCGGCATGAACTCTGTAACCTTAGGCAAGTCACTCCATGTTTCTGAATCTGTTTCCTCATCTCTGAAAATGAAGACAGCAGTGTCTGCGTCTTGTCATTCTGAGGATTCATCGAGCTAATGAGCACAGTGTGGCACATCACATTTTTGCTGGCGTCTTCTTTTTTTTTATATTTTGTTATTTTTATTTTATGTGTATGAGTGTATTGCCTGCATGTATGTGAATGCACCCGTGTTGTGCAATGCCTTGGAGGTCAGAGGAGGGCTTCGGATTCCCCTGGAACTGGCGTTAAGGACAGTTTATAGCCATAATGTGGGTGCTGAGAATCCAACCCAGGTCCTCTGCAAGAGCAGTCAGTGCTCTTAACTGCTGAGCCATCTCTCCAGCCCCGCATTTTCTAATTTTTATGTAATTATTTTTATTGTATGTTTGCCTGTATATATGTAAGTGTGCCCATGTGTGCAATGCTCTTGGAGGCCGGGAGAGGACGTTGGATCCCCTGGAACTGGAGTTAGCAGATGGTTGTTAGCTGCTATGTGGGTGCTGGGAACCAAACCCGGATCTCTCTCTCTGCAGTGTTCATTTTTTTTTTTTTTATCTTTTTGAGACAGGGTCTCTCTGTAGCCCCAGCTGTCCTGGAACTCACTATGTAGACCAGGCTGGCCTTGAACTCACAGAGATCCGCCTGCCTCTACCTCCCAAGTGCTGGGATTAAAGGCGTGCACCACCACGCCCAGCCTTCTGCAGTGTTCTTAACTGAGATGCCATCTCTCCAGCCTTTTTGCTGGCATTATTGTTGGCATCTCTTTTTGCCAAATGTGGGGCTGCCCTTTGGCTACCAGTAGAGTAAGATCCTGAAGCCCAGCTGGAGGCAGATCTCAGTGGTAGAGCACATGCTTAGCATGCACAAGGCTCTGGGTTCCATCTCAGCCCCAAGGGACAAAGATCTGAACCCCTTAGCTTTTTCACTTCTATGTGAATAGCTGTGCACACACAGGGGAGGTCTGAATTACCCTGTCTCCCAGCAACACAGGGTGTAATGGTCTCTCCATGTTGCAAGGCCAGCTTCATTCCTTCTGAAACATGACCTGCCTCTGCTTTGGCTCTTTCCTGCAGTCCCTGCTGAGACCACCTATCACACGCTGGAGGAGGGAGTGGTGGAGTACTGCACAGCCGAGGCTCCCCCACCCCTGCCAACCGAGGCCCCTGTGGAGATGATAGCCCAGCATGCAGACGCATCTGTCAAACCACAGGCACTCAAGAGCCGCATTGCCCTCAACTCGGCCAAGCTGATCCAAGAGCAGCGAGTCACCAACCTACATGTGAAAGAGATCGCCCAGCACCTGGAACAGCAGAATGATCTGTTACAGATGATCCGGCGTTCCCAGGAGGTACAGGCCTGTGCTCAGGAACGCCAGGCACAGGCCATGGAGGGTACCCAGGCAGCTTTGAGTGTCCTTATCCAGGTCCTCCGGCCCATGATCAAAGATTTCCGACGCTACCTGCAGAGTAACACACCCAACCCAACCCCAGCTTCTGACCCTGGACAGGTGGCCCAGAATGGGCAGCCAGACAGCATCATCCAGTGAGGGTAGGAGCCAAACCAGTGTTCTGCCGTGATCAGAGGAAGCCTCTGTGGAATTGTAAGTGGCTTCTGTGAGTGACTTTAAGTGGACCACATAGATAGCTCCCACTTGGATAGCTATTTGGGGTTTACTGGGCTGAGAAATGAAGGAGGCTGGAAAGAAGAATTTGCTGGCCTCCTGGGACCCAATGTCTCTTAGTCCAACCTCTGGAACTGCCTTGTTGAAATCAGGAAGGTTTAGCTAGGAGTCATGTGTTCGGGTAATAAGGCACATGTTGTCATGATCCAAGGCTTGGGACACGACCCAGGCTTAGCCTAGGGCAACTTTAAAAGACATAGTGATTCTTATTGGGGGCCATGTCACAGCCCAGGATCTATGCCGAACTGCCCCACCCCAGGTCTACCATCCTTTTTAGGGGGATCCTGACAGTGGTGCTGGTGGAAATGCAATAACACGTTTCTCACTTGTGAGGATGTCAGCCCAGTGCCACTGAGAAACCCCAGCCCTTTCTCACTGTGCCTCCATCCTCAGGGGACTCTCCTTACTGCTGTGTGCCACACCCACTCAGGCTCAACCCGGCTCTGAAGTGCCCTAAGATGCCCCTGCAGTATACCTGGCATGCAGCCAACCTGGATCAGGCATGCTGTGTGTGGTGGGAATGGGTTGGCCCCTTTCTGGTCTTCCATATCATGCCTGGGCAGCCCTCATGTGGTTTGTCCCACCCCTAGACTTTGACACAGATTGGGCTTCAGGTGCTGTCAATTTTAGAGAAAGCAAACCAGTGTGGAATCGTGTCCCCTGCTACAGTGCCGGTGAGGTAAACTGCTGGCTTTTCTCAGAAGGCTCATGTCAAACAGGCTGTATTTATTCTATGGGTGAACCCCTTCTGGGAAGATTCCAGGCTCTGTGGTCACTCTTCCTTCCTCTCTGTTAGACCAGTGTCCAAAACACAGTGCCCCTGCCGAGCGTCCCACCCGGAACGCCTCTTTTACTTGGTGCCTGGTGTTCCCTAGACACCCACTGACTGGCTGAGTGAATCCAAAGCAAGGACTGATCTTGAATGTAAGAGGTGGGCAAAGGAAAGCCAACAGAAAATGAGACTTTTTAATTCTGTGCTCTGGGGAACAGACCCTCAGGGCTGAAGGAGTTGCTGTCTGCCTTTCCCCTTTCTCTCTGAGGCCCTTAAAGGATCCTACCCAGGTGGCATTTTTCTGTCATTTTCAGACTTGTCACTGCATGCTGAGACCTTCATGTCTCCCCAGGTCACTGTCTCATTTGCCATTTCATTGCCAGTGCCTGGGCCACACATGACCAATGACTATAACTCAGCCAAGCAAGAGACGATGGGATTAGTCTGCGCTTCTGGACAAACACATACAGAGTTACTTAACTCCTCTGTTGTCACAGAAGGAGATGAAAGTTGGTAGGGTAGCTGCCCCACTGCCTCCCTTTCCAAGAAGTTATGAACAGGGCCAGGTACAGGGAGGTGGAGTGAGATGGGGCCCCCCTCACCCTGTTGGCCCCAACAGGATTGCTTCAGATTCCTAAGGATTTACAGCCCAGTTTGTTTTTTACTCTGGGGTTGGAAATCTGAGCCAACATTGTGTCTGTTCCATTTGGGTATAAGGAGGAACCTGGATCACTTAAACTAACTTATTCTTTCCAGGTCATAATTTTAAATTAAAGAAATGCCACTTTTTTAAACATACTTGTCTGTGTCTTTATTGGTCATACATAGAAAACAGCTGTGAACTATGGCCTAGAGGCTAAATCTGGCCTGCTACCTTTTTTTGTAAATAAAGTTTTATAAGAACACAGGTTCACTGATTGATTTAAGAATCAATCAGTGTTTTATACTATAATAGCAGAGTTGAGTGGTTGTTAACAGAGACAGCTGCCCCATGAAGCCCACAGTACATTCCTGGATTAGTGTAGGATTTCAGACCTGAGGAGAATTACCCAGATCTCACCCAGAGCCTGAGTAGAGACCTAGAGAGAAGGCGCCAGGGCTGTGCAGTTGAAGCACAGTCCTTTCTGAGTAATTCTCATAACTTGCTGACGATTAAGCACTGCCTCCCAGACCAGAAGGGCCCAACTCTCCTGGGATCCAGATCCTGCTCTGGAGCAGACTGGTTCTCCGTTTTTGTTCTACAGGTGAGATGTTTTGCCAAGCTGAGATAACTCATTTGAATAAGAATGGCCATTCTGGAAGAATGTGGACTTTCCTGGACATGTTTCTGTTCTCACTAATGTTTAATAAGAAATACAAGATGACAACTGTTGGGTCCCACCTTCTCTGTCTAGGCCTTAAAAGCAGGAAGTCATTGACGCCTCACCCCAGCCCCAGGAAGTAGGTGCTGATACTTGCTGATAGAGTTCTCAGTTTGCAGTTGAGAACACTGAGGATCGATGGTTAAATAGTCTGTTTGAAAGCACATAGTACCCCAGGGCAGTGTTTAACTACCTTTTCTTTCTCTCTTAGTCCCGAGGCATGCTTGGCAAGTGCTCTACCACTGAGCTACATCCCTAGCTCTTTTATTGCTTTAACTTTTTAGTTTGAGACAGGGTCTCACTAAGTTGCCCAGCTGTCCTAGAACTCACCAAGTTGGCCTGGAACTCACAGAGATCCTCCTGCCTTTGCCTCCCTTGTGCTACGATTAAAAGCATGTGCCACCACACCTGACTTGTTTGGTTGGTTGGTTGGTTTTGGTTTTTTTGAGATGGTCTCCCTGTAGCCCCAGCTGTCCTAGAACTCGCTATGTAGACCAGGCTGGCCTTGAACTCACAGAGATCCGCCTGCCTTTGCCTCTCTAGTGCTAAGATTAAAGGCCTGTGCCACTACACCTACTTTGTTTCTTTGTTTTGGTCTTTTTGAGACAGGGTCTCCCTGTAGCCCCAGCTGGCCTGGAACTCACTATGTAGACCACAGAGGTCCACCTGCCTCTGCCTCGGGAGCGCTGGGATTAAAGGCCAGTGCCACCACACTTGGCCTGACTTGATTGTTAGAGACGGTCTTGGTCTATAGCCCTGGCTGGCCTGGAACTTGCCACATAGATTATGCTGACTGTCCTCTCCCAAGGTCTAGGATTACCGGTGTGTACCACCTCACCTGACTGGAATCTTTTTTTCTCGGGGGGGGGGTGTCTTTTTGAGACAGGGTCTCCCTGTAGCCCCAGCTCATCTGGAATTCACTATGTAGACCAGGCTGGTCTCACAGAGATCGCCTACCTCTTCCTCCTGAGGGCTAGAATTAAAGGCATGCAGTCACCAAGCCTGACTACTTGGCTGGAATTTTACATAATAGAATTTCCCAAGCCATTGATGGGTATGGTGGCATATGCTTATAATCCAAGCACTTGGGAGGCTAAAACTGGAGGATGGCTGGTTCTAGGCAAACCTGTCTGCATAGCCAGACCATCTCAAAAAAATCAAAACATCAGGTGTAGTGTGGTCCATGCCAGAACCTGAGAGGCTGTGGTGGGAGGACCATGAGTTTAAAGCCAGGTTACTTAGGAAGACTCTGTCTAGAAATAACTAAACAAATAAGTTCAGAGGTGGGGTGGGTGTGGGTAGGTGTTGGAGAGATGACTCAGTGGTTAAAAGTGCATACTACTCTTGCAGAGAGCTGAGTCCAGTTTGTAGCATCCATATTGGGCAGCTCACAACCACCTGTAACTCCAGCTCCAGGGGAATCTGACACCCTCTTCTGGCCTCTGCAGGCACCTGCACTCACATGTGCACACAAACACATACACCCAATTTAAAAAATAAATATATAGGGGCTGAAGAGATGGCTCAGTGGTTAAGAACACTGGTTGTTCTTGCAGAAGACCTGGGTTTGAATCCTAGCACCCACATGGCAGCTAACAACTTTCCATAACTCCAGTCCCAGGGGATCTAACAGCCTCTTCTGTCCTCTGTGGGCATTGCACAACACGGGTGCACTTACCTACATGCAGGCAATACACGAATACGCATAAAAAATAAATAAATAAAAAATAAATGAAGGAGAGTGCCCCTCAGACCCCCCTTCCTGTCCTCTGAGAAAAGCTGCCCTCCACCTTACTCTGGAAATCCCCTCCATTGTTCAAACCCTTTCCTGGTACAACTGTTCATGGTTTCTATGGGAATGGTCTGGGGCAGAAGAGAAAGAATGTTCTGCCCCAGGTAAGCCAATGGCTGTATAGGTTAAGGCTCTGGAAATCAACCCTAGTTTGTTCAAATCTTTTCCTAGTTATTCTGTGTATGGTTTCTATAGAAATCCCCCACTTTGTGGTTTTTGTGGTTTTTATGCTTACTTGGGGTCTCAGTACAGCTCCCGAGACTGTCTGTGTCCCCAGCCAGTTGGCCTCAATAAAGCACTTCTTTTTACTGAGACTCAGTATCCGAGTGGTCAGTTCAGGGAATTTTTCAGACCCTGAACATAAATATATATATTAAAGTGCTTTGTAGAGCTGGATATGGTGACACACGTCTGTATTTTCAACACTCCAGGAGGCAGAGGCAGGCAGAGCTCTGAGTCCTGTATAGCAAGTTCCAGGCCAGTCAGGTAAACATAGTGACACTGTCTCAAAACACAGACAAACAAGGAGCTGGAGAGATGGCTTAGCGGTTAAGAGCACCGGCTCATCTTGGGGAGGACCTGGGTTCAATTTCCAATGCCCACACGATAACTAACAACCATCTGTAACTCCAGTTCCAAGGGGTCCGATGCCCTCTTCTGACCTCCGTGGACATTGTACGACATGGATGCACTTATATGTATGCAGGCAATACACTCATACACATAAAATAAAAATAAATTGTATTAAAAAACAAAACAAACAGAGGGCTGGGGTGTGGCGGCGCACGCCTTTAATCCCAGCACTCGGGAGGCAGAGGCAGGTGGATCTTTGTGAGTTTGAGGCCAGCCTGGTCTACATAGTGAGTTCCAGGACAGCTGGAACTGTGTGTGTCAAAAAGACACACACACACACACACACACACACACACACACACACAACCCAGAAATGGCTTTGTAAGTTTTCTCAAATAGCATTGGCCTAATAGGTCCATGATGTGGTACTACATAGAGATGGCTTGAGCTAATAGGTCTGGGATTAAGGTAGGGCTCTACTACTTCCTGTGGCTCAAGCCTTTGTGGTCCCAGTTTCATTAATCATACAGCTAGGGAATGACAGATAATAGCATACACTTCTCCAGGGTGTTCTGAGGATGGAGTGGGAATGGGAGTTACCATTCATTCAGCACTTACTATACGTAGACTGTCCTGTGTACATGTATGAACTCATTTCATGGGGTAAAACACTTAACGTGAGCCTCAGGCATAGTGCATGCCCAGTAAATGCAGCCTACTAATAGCACCACTACAGCATCATAACCAAAGTGGGAACTGTTGAGTCTGGTCTTGTCTTAGTATCATAATGGGAGCTTCTGTGATTTCAGTCAGATGACAAAAAGATGTGGCCCTGGAATTAGTGGTTTGTGGGTTCCCAGACAGCAGAGGATAAAGACTAGGGGCAGGCTGGGCCAAGGGGATCAAATCCAGTGCAGGGAGGAGCTCTGTGTCTGGGGGCTCTAGTCACAGGTGCTCTGAAAGGGAGGAGGGCTGCCTAGCTGTCCAGTTCGGGGCTGCACTGAGCCTCAGGAGCTACTGTACATCCCAGCTGTTCCATGGGACCACAGTCCAAAGAAGACGAGAAATCACCAGTTTCCTATCCTCCATGTTCCACTTTCCCCGATGCGACTGTGACAACCTGTTCAGATAGAGTACAGGGAGGGAAGTCACCTCACTGCTGAGGGGTCGTCAGGAAGAAAAGCTCCTGCTGTTTTATGGTGGGTTTGGCAGGGAGCTAGAGAGGAAAGCACTGGAGGTAAATAGAGTCTTTTCTCCAAGTACTTAGGAGGCAGCAACAGGAGGTTCACAAGTTCTAGGCCAGCCTAGGCTAAATAACAAGATTCTGCCTCAGACAA